GGATCGCGATAATTTTATATTTGACCAAAAGTGACTAAGGTGGGGACTATAAGTGGCCACAGAAAGACTTTGATGGGGTTGGGGCTCTGAGAGGCCACCGGCACATACCCAGCAAAAATTAATCCAAGTAACCCCCCTCTCGCGACCCCCAGGATTTTAATTCCGGGCTGAAGTTCCAGCCGGTATTCTGCAAACTCCCGTTTGGAAGACCTCACTAAGCTCACCGAACAAAAATAAAAACTGTTTGGAATAATCGATGGAGTCTCTACAGAGGAGACAAACGCAATCATCTAAAATAAGGCAAGATCTTAAATCATAGGCAGCATGATATTACCGTCTTTTAAATCCTAGTTGGTGTTTCAGCCGGTATTCCACAAACGCCTAATTAGCAGACTAAGCTTACTGGAGAACGGTGAAAACTGCTTGGAATAATCGGTGGGAGTCTCTGCGACCATCTAAAGTCAGGCAAGCTTTTTAATCATAGGCACGTTAAAAAACAGACGGTGATATCATTTATGCTCCTAGTTGGTGTTTCAGCCGGTATTCTTGAAACGCCCACTTAGCAGACCCAACAGAGCTTATTGAAGAACGGTGAAAAGTGTTGGGAATAATCGGTAAGAGTCTATGCGGAGGAAACAAACGCGATCATCTAAAATGAGGCAAGATCTTAGATCATGGGCAGCGTGATATTACCGTTTTCAAATTCTAGTTGGTGTTCCAGCCGGTATTCCGCAAACACCCACTTAGGAGACCCACCTGAGCTTACCGGGGGACGGTGAGGTTTAGAAAGACCCTCATAGAGGTCTTAACTATCCTAATTGTAAAAGAACGACTCCGAGTACACTTTCATATACAGGGATCCATTGGTTTTATTTACACTTCTATTCATATTCCTTCCTTTATCCATTGTCATACACCAACATCTATTGTTATTGATATGCTTCGTTGTGTACTAAACATTTGAGATCCCGGTAAATGAAAGACAACCCAAGATTTTGTATTCTTTTATGAAACGAAAAGTAGTTATCGCTTAACAAAACACCAGCACCACAAAAATGCCACAAAATATTGTACAGGTTAAAAAATCACTCTTGAACAGCTATATCATCATCTTTCATATTTTTATTTCTCGTACTACCGTTCATATAATTTGCTGTGGGTATTAGTTTATGCCCGCATGTGGATGCTATTCGTACTGAGTCTAGATTGTACGCACAGTGTATGTAAATTACACTGAATCAAATCAACATGGCTTACTAGCATTGTCTAGAGCGTCCAAACAACTATGTCAGCCCTAGGGTACTTTGGTCCGGTTGCGAAATGCGACCAAGATTAATCAAAAGTTTTCTGCAACCGTTCCCTGTGTTTCCAAGGATTTTCTCGTGCTCACAGTTGTCCGCTGTTAGGGGATCCCTGCAGGTGGGTCTTCATATGTCGCTGTGTACACATTTGCTCCAATTCACTCACTTTGAAACGTGAGTGCAGAAGTGGGTTATGGGTATGCAAAGGAGTGGAATTTTCTCAAAGGACGTCCTAACAAATGAGAAAAGCATACAGATAGGGAAATGATGCTTACTTCAATGCCTGAGTACAAAGTCCAGACCATCACCCAGAATGTCGCGACACGTCCGACATTGTACTTTTACACGGTCACCACGCCAGAACGCTTGAAAACGGGTGTGTTAACATTTGTGCGCGCGGCCCAGCAAGTTTCGTACGCGGGCACCGTTGGTGGACACTGAGTGAAGTCAACATAGCCCATCACAGAAATTCTGCTAAAAATAGTGACTCTCGTCCGAATAGCATCTAAAAGGTCGTTTACAGGTAAAAAAGAATACCCACTGTCTTCGTCGTACTCTCAAAAAATGAAAAAAAAAAACCCGTAATTTTCACACTTTTCACAAAATGTACATAAATAGTTGGTTACATAGACGCCTCCTTTGCGCTCGAAGCGACTAAACCAGGTTACACGTGCAGGCCATTCTTTCGTAGGGTTCCTAAGCTGCCGTGTTTGTAATTATGGCTGCTTATTGAAGGCATCATTCATAGCGTTGCAAGTTAAGATGGAATGGCTGCGTTTATGTACAATCACAATTTAAAGCTATTTGCTAATACACTATTTATCGAAAGAAGTTTCCTGCATTTCACTGTAGGCGACTGTGAAAACGAATACTCCCTGTCACTCTTAAAAGCAAGACTTGAAGTCTGCACCTGACTGTTAAGAGGTACAGGATATTACGGGTGGGGAAGGCGAAGGAGTTACTATGACGGGAAAAAACGCCGCTTTTCTACTATGAATCTCTTACAAATATCGCCCAAAGAAAGGGTCTTTTGTTTCGCAATGTATTTTTAAATAATTTTTCTACCTATAATAATTACATATTTCACTATAAACAAAACAGTGCGGCTATCTTGCGACGACTTCTACTGGTGAACGGGAATGCTTTGCTTGAGGTGGGGTAAGACCTGCAAAGAAAACAAGGAATCAAAATAGAATACTGCCGAGAACATGAACCACACCTAAGCGAGAACGTACTTAAAACTGAGGATTGCTGGAGCAATTTTTACTGACCGTTTAACTTTGCAGCTTTTTCTTTCTTCGTGTTATCAGGAAACAACGCCCTGTGAGAAAGACACATCAAAAGAACGAAGTATGAAAAGCATTCATATCTACACAAGGACAATCGAACTCAAAACGTTCTATTGCGTTTTAACAACAAGGGTATCAACTAAAATCGGAACTGATAAATAAGTTTGAAATTCGCTGTTTTCCGACAACAGTATTTTAAAATATGGTCCTTTAAAAGTTTTGAATCTGGCGGTAGTGGTATAGGGCGTACCTTTCAGATCTCGTTTCTTAAAAATGGAACACGACAACATCTCGCAGTTAACTTAATGTTAACGAGAGTTCTTTTCAACAAGGGAGTGGAGAACATTGGCTGAAAAAATAGCCGACATTTTGCGAAGCCACCACTGGTTTCTCCGTGAAATGACGTCAGCGGAACGGCTGCAGGAATTCCATACTGATGACACGTCACTACGCAGATCCGGATAGGCTTCTGATTGGTCCTGCCGCGAGGAAAATTTCCTTCAACCAATCAGAAGCACTACCCAGATCTAGGTAGTGACGCGTCATCATGGGCTCGTTTTTTCAGACGTTATTTCCCCGTGGAGACCAGTGGTTGCTTCGCAAAATGTCGGCTGTTATCTAAGGCTATGGAAAACACACCCTCTATACTACTTATGTCTTAACTGGGTACGGTAAGTCACAACAAATCAAGAAATTATGCATCATGTACCTTTTTGGTTCGAAATTTATTGGTTATAATTAGAAAGCAAATTTCGAGTCTCCCTCCACCATCGACGTAGCACCACTAGTTTCCCTGAAGACGAGGCCCTCTTTTGGTTAAATGTAATTTACGGACTCATAGCTTACGGTCCTAAATTAGCATTTTCCTGGAATTTAAAATCTAGTCAACTCTCTGCACCTAGAGCTGTTCTCTACCGCTCTTCAGCCTTTTCATGGACTGTCTTTAAGGCAGAAACATCTTAAAGACGAACGTAATGGTTTCTGTCTTAAAATGAGTTGACTGTATATTTTCTGACTGTGCAAAAACGAAATTCTCAATAATTCACAAAGAAAATACAAAGGAAATTGATCTTTAATTGGTGTTAAGAAAACAGATAAAGAACTCCTCATTTTGCATCCTTTATCTCTCCTTCTACCATTATCTTGTTTAAGAGCTAATATAGAAACATTCGACGCAGTATTCAGTCATGATATCAACATGACCTTGAAGGTCCTCCAATATTCCGCGGCACGTGATATTTTCAACTCTTTTATCAGTGTTTGAACTTGTTTGAAAGACTTAGTCTCGTGTTTTATAACTTGTATCAATCATTAAATTAACTTCACACATCAATGACGAAAGGCGATGATTACCTGTAGGATCTGGACTGAAGAAGGAACTTCCTGCACAAGGCAATTTCACTGGCTAATCTACGCAGGTCATCTCCCTCGAATACGGGCATACTAAGCGGCTAAAAAAATAATAACAAAAACGAACGCATCTTTTAACAATCGAGTGAGAAATTTAATAAATGAAGTATGGGCTACTGGCAGGATACCATTTTTGTTTTTCGTATAAACAGATAGAAGATAGTGTCCTTTCCTGATGTTACTTAATGCTTTTTTTGGTATATTTATGTTTCTTCTGTGCTTACTTCGTCTTCACGGAAGCCTTCGGTAAGAAGTCTGTGAGTAAACATGTGACCATCCGGATCGCCTTGGCAACGATGATACCTGTGAAACAGGAAAGAAACTCGTCAGACTGGCTCTCACCTAGACAAAAACGATCACATAGAAGAACCAGGGTTTCTCTTTTGAACATGGAGACAGAAAGAGATAAGAATAACCGAATCCTACCTCCCGCCAGTCTGAGAAGCCAGAAGTTGAAGAAACTTGTTTGCTACACTAAGAGTAAAAAGAAGGACAAGACAATTAGAAACGTGGTCGATGTTTGATGCTACCACAACCAGCGGCGGATCCGACGGATTTTACGAAACAATAANACGATCACATAGAAGAACCAGGGTTTCTCTTTTGAACATGGAGACAGAAAGAGATAAGAATAACCGAATCCTACCTCCCGCCAGTCTGAGAAGCCAGAAGTTGAAGAAACTTGTTTGCTACACTAAGAGTAAAAAGAAGGACAAGACAATTAGAAACGTGGTCGATGTTTGATGCTACCACAACCAAACGACGGATTTTACGAAACAGTAAAAAGGCACTGAACTATACATCTTTCTCATGTATTCACCTAGGTTAAAATTCACTATTTTCTAAAATCAACAAAAAAATTCTATGCACTTGGGCAAGTGAGATAAGTCAACATTCAGGAACCTTATTATTTCAACTGCAATTGTAATGGTGTACAGGTTTTACCAAGGGAATGAGCTGAATACCACTAAATACTCTTAGCTACAATGTACTTTTTCTACAGAAAATAAGAACCTATTTAAGAACCTAAATAGCCTAAAACTGTGCTAATTACCAATTATGTAAGAACCTGTTTAGGCTAATTTAAGAGGGTAAGGTTCTTAGTCGCGGATTTTTACTGTATCTCCTAAATGAGCTTCTACCTGTCATCGCAGTTGAAGGAAATACAGTGTACACGAACATTTCTTCCTGAGTTTAACTTGGCCACCTCTCGTAGTACCATCGTTGTACTGTTATCCTTTACCAGCAAAAAAAAAATGATCAATAAGTGTTGCAATTTGTTATAAATTAGGCGCTTTATCCTACGAATAACAAAAGGTATTTACTAACAGGTCAAATGACCTTGCTCTCAAGGGAATTTGTCTTTTGTCTCTTCATTAACTATGCACGCATACGCAAGTGAATGCACTTGCATAGGGGACAATTCCGTAGGGAAAAAAACATGGTCTGCAATGGGAAAACAAAACCTACAAGCTAACAAGTGAAAAATTTACAGAGATTGCTCAGAAATGCCGAATGCCGGTATAAAAAGGTTACAGAGGAGGCTTAAGCTACAGTAAGCGGGCAACAAAAAACGTGCAACTTGTTTTGCAACATTGAAGCAAAACGAGTTGAATAGCGATGTTGCACGTTTCACCACCTTGCAACCTTACGACAGGTTCGAGCGTCGGTGGTAAAACGCGCCACATCGCTATTCAACTGGTTTTGCAGCAATGTTGGAAAACAAGCAGCACGTTTTTTGTTGGCCGTTTTACTGTAGCTGAAGAGACATTGACAACTACACATCTGCATAAACAATCAACAGTTAATTTCCCAGTTACTTTTCTTGGCGAAACTTTTTAGCTGAGGACAGGACATAAAATGCAAACTAACCGGTTTGCCGTCAGTGAGGAGATATATTCCTTGTACCTCTGGATCTTCAAATGCCACCTGCAAAAGAAACAAAACAAACACACAAAAAATGAGTGATCCTTGCAGTAGAAAAGGAAACCTGAATTCAGGCTCTTTAAATTTACTATCACTTGCGAAAGCACAGACAGGAATGACACTTTTGCAGAAAGCATCACATCCGATCTTTAAGTCAACATATGGCTTACACTAGCAACCACCAGACAAATGTCAGCGCCCTTGTAATATCTCTACAACTCTTTACAATTCAAGAAAAAAACGAGCCTTAGACAGTTGGCACGTGAGGATCACCAAGAAAAAGTATACGTGCCTACAAAATTCATGAGAGGAATGTTTCGATAGTTATGAGCGAGACCCTTAAGTAATTTGTAGTTAAAGGTGTTGAAGGGGATTCCTAAAATGAATAATGATATACCTGAAGAGCATTTAATGTGCACGTGCTTCCGTTGGCATCAAAATCAGAAACCCATTCAACTGAATCTTGACAGCTGTCATCTGACGTCAAGGTCATATTTGGTTTCCATGGCACCACTTCAGACGAAAACCGGATAAGATTGAATCTAAAGACAATTAAAACAATTTTGTTAAATAATGTTTCCAGGAGGAGTCAGTCTCATAGCCATTTATTACTCAAACAACCTTTGCTGTAAATGCAGTGTACTCACTTTGTAGCATGGTGCCTGATTTGATCCCAGACTAACGCGGCCAGTTCCCGTTTTAGTTCATCCATACTGCTGACCATTGAGCCTGACGTGTCTATCAATATCGCTACCTGAAAAACCAGTGTATTGCGAGATTAGTTAAAGATCCGAAGTTTGCTCGGCGTGGTTCTAAAAAAAGGTAGTTCTGAGGAAATATCTCAACTGCTTAGTACGGTTAAAGGAAGAAATCGTTGCTGGAGTCAAAACAACGGCGCAGCTTTACCCTCATTTCTCTGTATCAACTACATCGAGTAGTTTCACTTCCTTTTCGCCCCAACAACTCCCCCCTCCCCCCCGCCAAAAAAAACACCGTTTTTTATTTGTATCTCATGATAATTAGGTAAAAAAATGTGCAAAATTTGCCTTCGAGTAAAGCTGGTCAATGGAGAGGATTTGCAGTTGACGGGTCTAGCCTTTGGTCAGAGCATTCCGTTTTAGCTCAATGCTATATACGTTTTTCCCAATTTAAACATTGCCCATGTATACGTACTTTTTTCTCGACTACCGTTCCAAAAATCCGTCTACTACCACTAAGGAGCCACTGCAATCGCTTAACGTATCTTCGTAACACTTTTTCCACTTGCTCTTCATAATCTTCCAACTCATGAGGCAGCAGATGAAGATGCTTCACAACTCCCTAAAGTGATCCAGGTGAAAGATTAATCTTCATCTATTCACTGATCCGTAAAATAAACAACGAAACTGTAACGAACTTCATCACAAATCAGAAAGGAAGAATATAAAACAGTGTTCAGTTACCTTAACTTCCACACTTGGGAAAATGTTGCAGTATCTAAAAACAGAAAAAATGAAAACAACTTGCTCAGTAGCTCAGCCGTAAAGGCGCTTGACAAAAATTTCATTTAAGAAACTTTGCCACGGTAGAAAGCGGTCTAAGTGAATGATGAATCTGTACTGCCCTGACTACCTAATTGTAAGTCTGACTGTCATGGACTATTTTTCTGTCTACCCTATAGTCCGTCTATCTGTCTCTGAGTCCATCTATAAGTCAGTCTTATTTAAACTCTTGAATTTCTGCACGGTAGTTAGGAAGGCCTTGGACGGATATATAATCCAAGTAGCCACATTGGAACTAATATTCAGGAGAAGGAGGTTGAAGAGTTTGTATTGTTTTGATTTCATGATTCATAAGTTATAACGTGTCTTTATATAAGCAAGTCACGAGTTGGCTTAAAGGAGCTGCGTCAGGGCTGTCTAGTTCATTAGATTAATATTGCTAATTACACAGCTACAAATATCTCGCTCAACGCATAGCATTATATCAAAGGAAACAACAAAAATGAACTTTGAAAAACACTTAGGCTAACAAGCTTTCAAACACCGTAATCTTCTTCAATGTTGTCCATCTGTTGCTTCTTTTGAAAACGCTGTGTTATTTATACCTTCCTCTCAATAAATGTTCCCGGCTTTGAACTGTTAATTTAATGTTTTACTAAACTGGATTGCAGCTTTCACTGTTAGAATTTTGATTAAGTTCTTGACACAGCTCCTTTAAAGGAAACTTTGGTTGTCTGTCGGAGAGTATAAAGTATTTTCGTCTAGTACTGCATGTATTTTGCCTTCGGTCCGTGTGGTGGTAACTTTGGTTGTCTGTCGGAGAGTATAAAGTATTTTCGTCCAGTTCTGCATGTATTTTTGTCTTCTGTCCACGTGTTAGTAACTTTGGTCGTCTGTCGGAGAATATACAGTGTTTTCGTCTAGCACTGCATGTATTTTTTTCTTCTGTCCGCGCGTTGGTAACTTTGTTTTTCTGTCGGAGAGTATACAGTGGTTTCGTCTAGTACTGCGTGTATTTTTGTCTTCTGTCCGCGTGTTGATAACCTTGGTTGTCTGTAGGAGAGCATGCAGTGTTTTTGTCTAGTGAATGTATTTTTGTCTTCTGTCCGCGTGTTGATAACCTTGGTTGTCTGTAGGAGAGCATGCAGTGTTTTTGTCTAGTGAATGTATTTTTGTCTTCTGTCCGTGTGTTGGTAACTTTGGTTGTCTGTCGGAGAGTATACAGTGTTTTTGTCTAGTACTGTATGTATTTTTGTCCTCTGTCCGTGTGCTGGTCTGCAGTGTTCTCTTACCTTGCAGGTACTGATTGGCCTAGAGATGATACTTTTCCTTTTGCATGAGAACACTCTGCAGACCCCACAATGCTATTCAAGTCTAGCTTTAACTTAGACAAACTATAGTGACGCATCCACTGCAAAAACAAACAACAATATTGGACAAAAACAATCAATTCAAGTTTCCACAAATGAATGAATAACAACAACTACCTCGAAAAAAAAAAAGATTATCTTAAGAGAATTGTGAAAGAAACATAAACGCACGTTGACGTGCAGAATCACCAGTAAACTCATAAACGCCAAGCAACGATTTGAATGCCTTTAGGAAAATCACGGTTTATAATTCTTATTTGGAAAAACTAAACAGGAAAAGAATACTCCGCACCTCTCTGGTACTAACACTGTCCTCTTTATCAGGAATAAAAGGATGTTTAATTGGTCTTCTAAGTTTCTTTTTCTGGGTATACTGAGTGAAAACTGCACCTGTGTAAAAAAAAAAACAGAATAGCGCTCTTGAGGCCTCTGAGACAGGCTTCGTAAACTAAAAGGGAAATTTAAACCGAGATGTTATGTTTACAATCATATTGTCGCCCTTTACAGTCTCTTTATTTGCCCATGCACAAGAACGACTTCAACTGTAATGTGTTCATGGTCGCGTCATCTTCCACCTCGTGACCATTATATCACGATGTGACTTCTGGTCGCTCTCATTTTTGATGTATGACGATTGGGACCCTAGTTCGACCTTTCTGACGTCTTTCTCCCGCCTTAGCCTAAAGGCCTGACTCACAAACGTCATCGTTGGCAAATTTTTAGATTAGAAAAGCAGCATCTTATACTATACTCGCTTGTTAAAGATGTCGAGAAACGACCAAGACATCAAGCAAAAATAAATAACAAATATATCAACAAAACAGCCAATGAGATTATTTTGTTCGGGTCAACTAAACTTGGTCAGCCTACTGAAGAACAGAAGCTTTAGAAAACCTGTATCATTTTTCCACTCCGTATAGAAGACCTGCTGGGACGATTTTACTCCGCCTGATGATGGTCTTCTCTCCTTAACAACGGTTTTAGCTGGAGGAGCTGTAGATAAATACAATAATCGAGATTCAAACACTTTGCACCATAATCTTCTCTAAAAGGCTGAAGTAGCGGACTATTCCAACATTAACTTGGCCGTAGGAAGTTCCTGTCAGAAATTAAGGCGCAGTTTTTATGTCGGTTTACTTTAGGCTTTCAGCATCGCCACTTGACAGGTTATTAAATATATTTACAAAACAAGATGTACGACTCCATATAGAGCGAAAAAAGGTCACCAAGAAATCTTTTTTCACCACTGCCGTTAAGAAGAAGCTAGTCAGTAGTAGTTTTTACTGTTGCTTCTTCATTCACCACGTTTAAAAAAACAAGTTCTAACTTGATCCTAAAATGAAAGCTTTTCTTGGGAACGATATTACAAAACATTTTCAAGTATAACCGCCGTTTTCGAATTTTCCCCTCAAGGAAATTTATCTTATTTAACCACGTCCCCTGAGCTTTTCAAATGGCAACGGCGAGAGTTGCTCGCGCCTTTCGGGTGTCTATGGGGAGAGATGACCGATAACAGGGCCTTTTCCCTCCCCTCCCAGATTCCAAGGGAATATCCCTGGTGACGAGGTTGTATCTCGTTTCTTTAAGCATTCGTGCCTTAAAGAGACTTTATGAATTCACAGACGTGGGAGTATCAGGTCAACTCACGTGCTGGAATTAGTGAGGTAGAACTGTTTGATGTGGTAGGTTTCCACTGTAACGCCTTCATTGTTGATTCTTTGGTCTGAGACGATGCACTGTGCGGCCTGGCCTTTTTCCCGCCGGTGGAGGAACTGGGACGACTCATGCCGGCCGTCTGAGGTCTTACATTCTGTACAAAAGACGGTCGTGTTCAATTAGACAATTTTTTACAATATATAAGAAAGTGCTTTCTCTCGTAACGGCAGCTAGAAAATAGTTAGATTATATTGATGGAAAGCAAGAAATGCTTACAGCGATGAGGGCACAGAAATATAAACTAAAGTAGATAAAAATTACGGCCGAAACAAAAACTTCAAAAGAATGGCGTAAATGTTCTTCTCTTTACCACCTTTGAAAAAAATCAAATAAGATGAATTGTAAGCTACTACNGTTTTACGGTTGCTTCTTCATTCACCACGTTTAAAAAAACAAGTTCTAAGTTGATCCTAAAATGTAAGCTTTTCTTGGAAACGATATTACAAAACATTTTCAAGTATAACCGCCGTTTTCGAATTTTCCCCTTAAGGAAATTTATCTTATTTAACCACGTCCCCTGAGCTTTTCAAATGGCAACGGCGAGAGTTGCTCGAGCTTTTCGGGTGTCTATGGGGAGAGATGACCGAGAACAGGGCCTTTTCCCTCCCCTACCAAATTCCAAGGGAATATCCCTGGTGACGAGGTTGTATCTTGTTTCTTTAAGCATTCGTGCCTTAAAGAGACTTTATGAATTCACAGACGTGGGAGTATCAGGTCAACTCACGTGCTGGAATTAGTGAGGTAGAACTGTTTGATGTGGTAGGTTTCCACTGTAACGCCTTCATTGTTGATTCTTTGGTCTGAGACGATGCACTGTTTGGCCTGGCCTTTTTCCCGCCGGTGGAAGAACTGGGACGACTCATGCCAGCCGTCTGAGGTCTTACATTCTGTACAAAAGACGGTCGTGTTCAATTAGACAATTTTTTTACAATATATAAGAAAGTGCTTTCTCTCGTAAGGGCAGCTAGAAAATAGTTAGATTATATTGATGGAAAGCCAGAAATGCTTACAGCGATAAGGGCACAGAAATATAAACTAAAGTAGATAAAAATTTACCGCCGAAACAAAAACTTCAAAAGAATGGCGTAAATGTTCTTCTCTTTACCACCTTTGAAAAAATCAAATAAGATGAATTGTAAGCTACTACCATCCTCTTGCAAATCCTGCTTTTAACACTTGGCTCTGTACAATTTCTTAAAAGTCTCTCCGACCTCTTTGCTTATACAACTGCAGGGCCGTGTTGTTTAAAGCTGGGTTAAGATAACCCAGGGTTAGTGCGGGATTTGAATTCAGATTTGAAAGCTTAAAAAGCATTTCAGTTTTAATTCTTTTAGTTTACAGGTTGACGATTGCAAGCTCTAAAAATAACAGAGAAAATCATCCGAGAAAATGCTTTTGAACAAAAGAAAAGGAATCCCCGGTTAAATTTAACCCCGGGTTAAGCGCTAATCGGCCTCCGAACAACTGGGCCCTGGAGTCAGTTTCACTAGGATCAATAAGCAGCTTCACCGCAACCTCCAAAAAGTAACGTCACGTAAGGCTACTATGATTTTTGCGTTTACGGATGAATAGTGACATTTAAACCCTAGCAGACGTAAGTAATACGTTCGAGTTCACTATGTTATCATAGTGTAGAAGCTGTGTATGAATTTCAAAACCTTGTCCTAAACTGCTGATATGAAATTTTTTAACAAACGAGACTACAGAGAGCTCTCTCTTAACGGGGACCTTAATAAGACGGACACCCGGAGTTTGAGCTTGCCATTGCTCAGTTATTTCATTTGACCTTCTTAGTGTCGACACCAACAGTGTAGTTCTGTCTTGGGTACAGTTAACTGTATTACAAAAATATTCTGCTTTATGTAAGTTGAAAGATCGAAGAAAAAAAGACATTTTATATTTTTACTTTTTATCATTTATCTTTTCTAACCGATTTCAGCTAACTTTGATGGTAAAGAGTTTAAAAGAGGGACTCACGTCTCAATCACAGTTAACATTCTTATAGCCAGACTTAACCTTATTGAGCACATAGCGTTATAGTACGTTTTAAAGGACACGAACTGTTTCAGTAAAAGGAGGAAAAAGGACAGATGTAGATTTCACAAAAAGATAATTTATTCTTACAGGATCTTCTGATGTGACTTTAATGGGAGGCAAAGAACAGGCCTGTTTCTAAAACAAACAAAACACAAACCACGCCGTTTAACACAAAAGCAGTTAACGCTACTTGTTTATGTAGAGAGTGAAATGTTTTCTCACGGGCGTTTAGTGTTAAAACGAGCAACTTAGGGTTTAAAATTTAACTAATTATATCGTTTACCAAAAGCAAAACGATTTCGGCATTAATCAAAAATTGCCTATTTAAAAGTCCAAATGAACGTTAGAACAAAGAACTTTCAAGAAAACCTAACATTAACGATAGGTGTCAGGGGGAGTTTCACCAAGACTCCCTCAAAACTTGTGTGGCGATGGAAAGAATTAATTTCAATGCTGATAAAATTTTGTTACATAGGCCGAGCAAGGCGAATGCTCCTTTATTTTGATTTAGTAAAAAAAATGTGTTATGCTATTACTATTTAGGCGGCGTTTAGACAAGCACAGAATAAACTGCCAATTGGTAAAACACGACATAAATTCGAGTATCATACGCAGTATATAACATCACTTACCATTCTAGCCTTTGTTAGTGCAGTGTGCCTTGGTGGGGTTAGAGGTAACCGTGACTTATTCGCAGATGGAGGCCTGGGTACAAGCTGGCTGTCACCATCAACTGAGCCATTTATCTAGCAAAATAGCAGGCGGTGATAAAATAATGTCATTAAACTCTTATTAAGACCTTTGCTCTATAAATAGCAGGAAATTGAATTTTGTTCCCTGATAAACTCTGAAAACCGCTGGGAGTATTTGTGCAACCAAAGGGTAAAAGTGCACAGTCCTGAACATGGGCATAGATTTGTGTGACTATTTTTTATTTATAATGAACTCGGGTGAAAAAGTGCAAGCAAAATTCTGGTACATTTCAGCAGCTCACCATCGTTTGGGACTTCAACCAAAAGGCCTAAAAAATTTCCCTTTACAGACTATAGACAAAACAACAGTACCACAGGATAGTAATGAACCTACCAATTCAGCTACTGGCTTTTTCTTTCTCACAGTTTCCAACAACATGGCAGTCTGTAATAATATATGAATTCACAGACGTGGGAGTATCAGGTCAACTCACGTGCTGGAATTAGTGAGGTAGAACTGTTTGATGTGGTAGGTTTCCACTGTAACGCCTTCATTGTTGATTCTTTGGTCTGAGACGATGCACTGTGCGGCCTGGCCTTTTTCCCGCCGGTGGAGGAACTGGGACGACTCATGCCGGCCGTCTGAGGTCTTACATTCTGTACAAAAGACGGTCGTGTTCAATTAGACAATTTTTTACAATATATAAGAAAGTGCTTTCTCTCGTAACGGCAGCTAGAAAATAGTTAGATTATATTGATGGAAAGCAAGAAATGCTTACAGCGATGAGGGCACAGAAATATAAACTAAAGTAGATAAAAATTACGGCCGAAACAAAAACTTCAAAAGAATGGCGTAAATGTTCTTCTCTTTACCACCTTTGAAAAAAATCAAATAAGATGAATTGTAAGCTACTACCATCCTCTTGCAAATCCTGCTTTTAACACTTGGCTCTGTACAATTTCTTAAAAGTCTCTCCGACCTCTGCTTATACAACTGCAGGGCCGTGTTGTTTAAAGCTGGGTTAAGATAACCCAGGGTTAGTGCGAGATTTGAATTCAGATTTGAAAACTTAAAAAGCATTTCAGTTTTAATTCTTTTAGTTTACAGGTTGACGATTGCAAGCTCTAAAAATTACAGAGAAAATTATCCGAGAAAATGCTTTTGAACAAAAGAAAAGGAACCGCCGGTTAAATTTAACCCCGGGTTAAACGCTAATCGGCCTCCGAGCAACTGGGCCCTGGAGTCAGTTTCATTAGGATCAATAAGCAGCTTCACCGCAACCTCCAAAAAGTAACGTCACCTAAGGCGACTATGATTTTTGCGTTTACGGATGAATAGTGACATTTAAACCCTAGCAGACATAAGTAATACGTTCGAGTTCACTATGTTATCATGGTGTAGAAGCTGTGTATGAATGTCAAATCTTTGTACTTAACTGCTGATATGAAATTTTAAACCAAACGAGACTTAATAAGACGGACACCCGGAGTTTGAGCTTGTCATTGCTCAGTTATTTCATTTGACCTTCTTAGTGTCGACACGAACAGTGTAGTTCTGTCTTGGGTACAGTTAACTGTATTACAAAAATGTTCTGCTTTATGTAAGTTGAAAGATCGAAGAAAAAAAGACATTTCATATTTTTACCATTTATCTTTTCTAACCGATTTCAGCTAACTTTGATGGTAAAGAGTTTAAAAGAGAGACTCACTACTCAACTACAGTTAACATTCTTATAGCCAGATTTGACCTTATTGAGCACATAGCGTTATAGTACATTTTAAAGGAGACGAACAATTTCAGTAAAAGAGAGATGTAGATTTCACAAAAGGTAATTTATTCTTACAGGATCTTCTGATGTGACTTTAATGGGAGGCAAAGAACAGGCCTGTTTCTAAAACAAACAAAACACAAACCACGCCGTTTAACACAAAAGTAGTTAACGCTACTGGTTTATGTAGAGAGTGAAATGTTTTGTTAATGGCGTTTAGTGTTAAAACGAGCAACTTAAGGTTTAGACGATTTCGGCATTAGTCAAAAACTGCCTATTTAAAAGTCCAAATGAACGTTAAAAGGAAGAACTTTCAAGAAAACCTAACATTAACGACAGGTGTCCGGGGAAGTTTGACCAAGACTCTCTAAAAACCTGTGTGGCGATGGAAAGAATTAATTTCAATGCCCATAAAATTTTGTTATATAGGCCGAGCAAGGCGAATGCTCCTTTATTTTGATTTAGTAAAAAAATGTTTTATACTATTGCTATTTAGGCGGCGTTTAGATAAGTACAGAATAAACTGCCAATAGGTAAAACAGGACATAAATTCGAGTATCATACGCAGTATATAACATCACTTACCATCCTAGCCTTTGTTAGTGCAGTGTGCCTTGGTGGGGTCAGAGGTAAGCGTGACTTCGTTGCAGATGGAGGCCTGGGTACAAGCTGGCTGTCACCATCAACTGAGCCATTTATCTAGCAAAATAGCAGGCGGTGATGAAATAATGTCAATAAATTCTTACTAAGACTTCTCTAGCAGGAAAATGTAATTTTGTTCCCTGATAAACTCTGAAAACCGCTGGGAGCATTTGTGCACCCAAAGGGTAAAAGTGAACAGCACTGAACATGGGCATAGACTTGTGTGACGATTTTTGATTTATAATGAACAGGGGTGAAAACGTGCAAGCAAAATTCTGGTACATTTCAGCAGCTCACCATCGTTTGGGACTTCAACCATACCATTTAAGGCCTAAAAAATTTCCCTTTACAGACTATAGACAAAACAACAGTACCACAGGATAGTAATGAACCTACCAATTCAGCTACTGGCTTTTTCTTTCTCACAGTTTCCAACAACATGGCAGTCTGTAATAATAAAAGGTATTTCGCAGATTGACATCTTGATGAACACTAAATACACTGATATAGATAGCTTTGGGAACAGTGAGACTTGAGACAAACTTACTTTCTGTGAGTAATTGAATGCCTTATCCATTTCATTTATTACAGCCCTCAGGTCATCACTTTCTACTATTGCTGCAAACAACAAAAACTAATTGAAACATTTTTGGACAAATACGGACAAAAGTCAATGCCACTAAAATAGCCTCATATGTGTTATTTTATGCTAAGACAAAAGACAAGATATGAGGACTTAAAGGGTCGGTAAGTTGAGCGACTATGGCTTACGACGATCGATAAATGAACCTCCAAATGTTTTTAAGATGGATTATTTTATCAAATAAACAATTTTCCAGTCCCGCTATATGTCTTTTTGACGCTTATCATAGTAAACAACGTTTAAACACCAGGATTTGACAGTCAAAACTACTTTGGCAAACGAGGCACAAGGGCTTTAACGGGAGCTATTCCACATTTGCAGAACAAAATATATACTAGAAATACGTAAATCGAAGAACCTCAAGAGGCAGGGGCTAACGCTCAGAAGTATGGAAAGGAAAGGTTCCAATAGGAAACAAACAAACAAAACAAAATAAAACAACGAAAATGATGACCAAAGCTGGCCTGTACAGCTGGCGGGATTGGCGGGAGTGCTGTGTTTGTTTTTGGCAGCAGAACCGCCAGAAGTCTGGGGGAGGTTTTCCNCCTAAAAAATTTCCCTTTACAGACTATAGACAAAACAACAGTACCACAGGATAGTAATGAACCTACCAATTCAGCTACTGGCTTTTTCTTTCTCACAGTTTCCAACAACATGGCAGTCTGTAATAATAAAAGGTATTTCGCAGATTGACATCTTGATGAACACTAAATACACTGATATAGATAGCTTTGGGAACAGTGAGACTTGAGACAAACTTACTTTCTGTGAGTAATTGAATGCCTTATCCATTTCATTTATTACAGCCCTCAGGTCATCACTTTCTACTATTGCTGCAAACAACAAAAACTAATTGAAACATTTTTGGACAAATACGGACAAAAGTCAATGCCACTAAAATAGCCTCATATGTGTTATTTTATGCTAAGACAAAAGACAAGATATGAGGACTTACAGGGTCGGTAAGTTGAGCGACTATGGCTTACGACGATCGATAAATGAACCTCCAAATGTTTTTAAGATGGATTATTTTATCAAATAAACAATTTTCCAGTCCCGCTATATGTCTTTTTGACGCTTATCATAGTAAACAACGTTTAAACACCAGGATTTGACAGTCAAAACTACTTTGGCAAACGAGGCACAAGGGCTTTAACGGGAGCTATTCCACATTTGCAGAACAAAATATATACTAGAAATACGTAAATCGAAGAACCTCAAGAGGCAGGGGCTAACGCTCAGAAGTATGGAAAGGAAAGGTTCCAATAGGAAACAAACAAACAAAACAAAATAAAACAACGAAAATGATGACCAAAGCTGGCCTGTACAGCTGGCGGGATTGGCGGGAGTGCTGTGTTTGTTTTTGGCAGCAGAACCGCCAGAAGTCTGGGGGAGGTTTTCCCTGGCGGCTGGCGCCGCCAAAAAAGTACCCAACACATAGAGAAAATACCCCAAGCATTACAATCCCGCCAACTACAAGGGCAAATAAAAACACAGCACTAGTTGAAACAATACTATCGTAGACTGCACATGAACTACACGACCCAATTTCCAGTAATTCCCTATTGGTTCTTCATAATCTGGTAGAGAAATGGCACTGTAGCAAGAAGGAAGAAGTATTCACCTCCATTCCTATACCAGTGGAATCTTCCATTGACAGTATGCGCCATTTGTCTAAGGTAATTAGCCGTTTCTCCTCTATCAGCATATTTTCCTGGTATTGATACCAACCCATCCTCGTCCTCGACTTCGTAGTAAATAGTATGAACTGTAGTGTGTCTACCAGCTAAAGCTTCGCTTACAAATCCACAGGCAACATCCTTTAAAGAAAAAAGAATAGTGTTGAACATTTAACAACGCTTCAACCTTTGAATGAGTAGATGGGTAGATTTCACGGTGCGATCATTCAACTGCACTTAAAAGGAGAAATTTCCCTAAGGTGCTGGACCTGGATGTACAAAGGAAACTCAGTTGAGTTAAATCCTAAGAATCATTGCTGAACAAAAAAACTTAAGTTACAAAACAACAATGAGGATATAATGAGACTGGCGACCCTCAGTGGTTACGTTGTACAAATCGTCTTAATTATCAAGCATATAAATTACGAGTTTGACCAATGAAACGAAAGCTTTCCTGAAGTAGTTTTATTTGGTATGGCTCGTTACGATGAACAATTATCCCACCCGTTAGCTGCTGTATAGTTCTTTTTATGATAACAGGCCAATTTACGTTACCTTTGGTTCATCGGGTACCCCACTTGTTACCACATAAATCCCTTCAACCTCTGTAAAACCAAAACAAATTTTTAAGATATGGTAAAAATGCAAACTGGGCAGGAGGGACTGTTAAAACCAGACAAGAGTGCTTCTGAGAGTAGTAAGTTTAAGACAAACTGGATAAAAGCCTTGACGAAACAAAGTACACCGATCATAGGACTGCAAGCTCAGGGCAGCAACTCTCAAGAAACTAAAAGTAGTGAAAGCACTAAGTAAAACCCTTACGCGAAGAAGGGATATATCAAGGAACGAAAAAAGAAATCCAAAGGGAATGTGATCAGAAAACCACAAATGCGATCGGGAAAAGAGGCTCGATGATAGTAACTGACATAATTTGAGCTGTTTGCGGGTTTACTGGTTTTTTTCTTCAGAGATGAGACACTTAACTGAACAAAAATTTGTATGTGTAATCAAATGGTGACGAGTGAAATTAGGGAATAATTTCACGCCCGTTTTGTCCAAATCCTTATAATTTAAAAATTATTAGGATTTGGACAAAACGCAAGTGAAATTATTCCCTAATTTCACGAGTATACCATTTGATTACCTATTAATATCATAGGTGACGAATTACTCCTTAATTTTAGCGCGAAATTTCAGCGATAATTTGTAATTTCACATGTGAAATTACAAAATTGCCACGGCAACTTTCCGTACGTCTCAGTGTCCAAAAAAAAAAAAGACATGAATGACTGAAGATGCCAGGGCATAAAACGACGCACGGGAAATTATAAGGATTTGGACAAAACGCACGTGAAATTATTCCCTAATTTCACTCGTCACCATTTGATTACACATACATATCACTTATGAGAATCTGTTTTTTATGTATAGCAGTAACTCACCGATGCCATGAGCCCTTTCGTCTTCGTTTTCCACAGCTTTTCTAAATGCATCCAAAACATTTCTACTGCCTGTGCAACCTCGTTGAAGAAGCCATCTATCAGAAAGAAAAAGCAAAATCATAAGAACCAACACTGGCCTTAGTTGCTTAAAACCGTTCATAACATCAAGTACGTCATCCTTTGCAAAAACTGGGGCTCGTTTATCCCCAGCCGTAGTATCATGCAAAGACTCGAAGTGGCGAAATACAGTTCACTGAGCCCGTTTTCAGTTGTCTTGCATATCTTTTCAATTAATGAACGGGTTAGTCCTAGTCCAAGTCTACTGTATTGACTGATAAAGCTTACATCACATTAGTATAAATAAACACTGCTGCTGCTTCAGTGGGGGAGTGAAGCCGCCCTAAAATTGGTTTGATATCCTCTCTGTTCCAAGGTAAATATTGCTGGTTTTGCATGGTCCGTTTTCACTCCTTTTGGTTCAGTTCGGCACTCTGAATCAGCACGGAATCAATGAAAGCTTTTTTTATTAACTTATTCTTGTTTCTGTGTCGATTAACGCAAAATCTAGTTGTACGTTTTGTAAAAAAAAAATCCTTTAGTGTGACCATTCAAATGCAACCTCTTGAAAACACGTTCTTACAAAGTACTACCTGTTTTCTTTAGTTACCCAAAAGAAATAGTGACTTTTTTGGCTGTGAGCTCTCATGGGAGGTAGAGAGCTCAAGAAAACTTACTTCCAGGTAGCTTCAAGATACTCGGGAGAGGGTTCTACCATGACTGGCCGAAACATCTCTGTCTTGTCACCAAAACTAAACAAATACAAATTAGAATTCAGTGAGCATCTTTTGAAGTATATAAATAAACCTTAGTTGAAGAAGGGGAAAACAGGGCAAAGAAAAAATATATTAGTTGAAACTCGAAGGTCGTGTTGAACATTCACCGCCATGCTAGTGGCACTAAGATGATATCTACCTGATATGGACATATTGATAGGTATTTTTAGACTGTAAAATCACAAGAGAGAATTACGAAGGCGCAATCACAGAACAGCTTTGGTACAGTGGACGGATAAATGAAAAAGCGCTTGGGCCCCAAAAAACGCATTTATAAATTCCACACCTCCGTACTTAAAACTAAATTTCAGTGTCGTTGATCAACAAATGGGAGTTAGAAAATTATAGCTAACACAGCCGTGGCCTACAACTCGTTAGTTTTGTTATACTCAAAATTTACCAGATGAAGTTGTAGGAGGTCTTGTTAGCCATTTGCTGTTCTAGAAGAAGCTTGAGATGCTCTTGTAGTCTAAGTACAGCTGGTGACATGCATATTGACATGTCCAACAACACAATCACTCTGCAATAAACAAAATAATTTCATTTACCTATCATACAGTAAGAACTCGCGTATAAGAACCTAGATTTTAGGAACCTCTTAGGCTAAGATTGTCTATTAAGACCCATTTTATATGAGATCCTGTTTTAGCCTACAATTTTGAGAAATTCAGTCAACCACTGAATACACAAGTACCATGTTTGGCCCAGCAGCAACACAGTTGTTGTTTTTGTTCTGTTTAAATTGCATAGCTTCATAAATGGCTTTAACCATCTTGAATTAAAGGGATTTTTATAACATATTTTGCATGCATTACCAAAAATAGGCCCAACCACAACCACCAATGACAAACACCTCATATATTTTTAAAAATAAGAACCTATTTAAGAACCTGAGTGGGCTGACTTTCCACTTAGCACCATTTTTATAAGAACCTTCTTAGCCTAACTTGGAAAAATGTACCAGATTCTTATACGCAGGTTTTTACTGTAGTCAGTCTTCTTTAATGTCAACATATTCGAGCGATTTTGGCGAACGCTTCAGTAAGTTTTTTTTTTTCAACAAATGGAGGATGCTCCAAAAATGAGTTACCACAATAATAAAAATGGCCGTTTAGGTTTTTATGCTAGAGACGTTAAAAATTAAAAAAAAAAAACTAATCATATAAAATTGATCTTATCTTATCTTAAGTGGTCGAGACGTTAATGCCGGCTGGTGCCCGGTAAAAACGGGATGCATAAAAGTTGACGAAAACATTGAAAAAAAATTGACGAAAAAAATACACAACACTGACTCTTCCCAGTCGCCCTTGGAGGAGTTGGGCAAAAATAAAATGCATCCTAGTTTATGCCGTCCCATTTTTAATACTAATGACACGCATAAAAGTCGCATGTTAAGTGCATTTCAACGACGTAGTAAACAGAAGACGTTATTGTCGTCAGACGTTAAACACGTCTGCCTTATTTACCGTCTTTAACGTCTCTATCATAAAAACGGCCAAAGCATCTAATTAGATACGAACTTAAAGGGACTCTGAACAACTGTACTGTTTCGTTCAGGAATGACTGGGTTTACAAAGTGGCAGATGATTGTGTAAGAGGATCAGATCGAGGGTTGCTTCACATTTCAGAAAATAAATATAAGATGTATTACTAGAATCCTTAAGAAAGGCGGAAGTCAACTGACCTTTTTTCCACAACTGTGCCAAAGATTCTGCGACAGCCAACAGAGAGCCAATCAACACGTCTCTTGTACAAGTGTACAGCAGACTCTAAATGGCGCTGTCAGAAACAATCAATCGTATACAGGCAGGCAAGATATATTTTCTACTCTGAAGTTGCATTTAGCACTAATGTTTAGCACCATTTAACACTAATTATTTCCCTCATAATAATGTTAGGAGTTTGTTTGCAGGGTTTATGGTTAAAGGGATTTTTGTAAAACAAACTTCGTTTACACAAATTAGTAGCTACTGCGACAACAAGGTAGACACGGTTTTTTGTTTGTTGGGTTTGTTTGCCAGTTTATACGTGATTGAGTATACATGAGGAGGTGAAGGTGAAGTTTGTTTCGTCATCTTAAATAGGAAGAAGACCACAGAATTGAAAAAGCGTCAACTACATGTATTTGGCAACTGGCAAGGACAAACATCTAAAGAGCGGGCATTGTCCTGAACAAAGTAATAATACAAACCTGGTAGTCGAAAAGTAATGTAGGATCAACGTGCACATTTTTCACCGTTCCATCAAACCACTTGAACTGAGCCATACTCTGAAGAGAGAAACACGGTGAACAAGAAAATGAGCTTATCATAACAGTGGTAAATGTAGTTCTAAAACTTCTGTTATCTCGTTTAACTCTCATAGCGATTCAAACCACCACATTTCAGTGTCCTTAGTTTCGTGGTGATCTGACAATTGGCAATAGTTTGTGCAACCTTTGTTCATGTGAAGGACTGTTTTCAACTGGGCTACTACCCATGTGTAGTCTACGAATACGGCCCTGGTCAATAGGGACGTTTCCTGCGAAACGTTCCGAGCGAGGGGGAGCGGAGAGACGGCTGTATGCACAGGCTTGCCCATGTGCATCATTTAAAATGTGATGAAAACCAACTTAACGTCTTCACGGTGCCCAAATTATCTGATTAACTTAGTTGAACCTGGCTTTCATTTCCAGAATAAACAATTCAGTGTGTCCTGCACACAGTCTCTTTATGAACTATCCTTGACCCATTTATCTACTAACCTAAAAAATTTCCCTTTACAGACTATAGACAAAACAACAGTACCACAGGATAGTAATGAACCTACCAATTCAGCTACTGGCTTTTTCTTTCTCACAGTTTCCAACAACATGGCAGTCTGTAATAATAAAATGTATTTCGCAGATCGACATCTTGGTGAACACTAAATATACTGATATAGATAACTTTGTGAACAGTGAGACTTGAGACAAACTTACTTTCTGTGAGTAATTGAATGCCTTATCCATTTCGTTTATTACAGCCCTCAGGTCATCACTTTCTACTATTGCTGCAAACAACAAAAACTAATTGAAACATTTTTGGACAAATACGGACAAAAATCAATGCCACTAAAATAGCCTCATATGTGTTATTTTATGCTAAGACAAAAGACAAGATATGAGGACTTAAAGGGTCGGTAAGTTGAGCGACTATGGCTTACGACGATCGATAAATGAACGTACAAATGTTTTTACGATGGATTATTTTATCAAATAAACAATTTTACAGTCCCCCTATATGTCTTTTTGACGCTTATCATAGTAAACAACGTTTAAACACCAGGATTTGACAGTCAAAATTGCTTTGGCAAACGAGGCACAAGGGCTTTAACGAGAGTTATTCCACATTTGCAGAACAAAATATATACTAGAAATACGTAAATCGAAGAACCTCAAGAGGCAGGGGCTAACGTTCAGAAGTATGGAAAGGAAAAGTTCGAAAAGGAAAAAGAAAATATATGAAGAATAAACAAACAAACAAAACAAAACAAAACAACGACCAGAAATAAAAAGCTAGCCTGTACAGTTAGCGGGATTAGCGGGAGTGTTTTTTTTTTCTTGGCAGCAGAGCCGCCAGAAGTCTGGGGGAGGTTTCCCCTCGCGGCTGGCGCGAAAGAAGTACACAACACATAGAGAAAATACCCCAAGCATTACAATCCCGCCAACTACAAGGGCAAATAAAAACACAGCACTAGTAGAAACAATACTATCGTAGACTGCACATGAACTACACGACCCAATTTCCAGTAATTCCCTATTGGTTCTTCATAATCTGGTAGCGAAATGGCACTGTAGCAAGAAGGAAGAAGTATTCACCTCCATTCCTGTACCAGTGGAATCTTCCATTGACAGTATGCGCCATTTGTCTAAGGTAATTAGCCGTTTCTCCTCTATCAGCATATTTTCCTGGTATTGATACCAACCCATCCTCGTCCTCGACTTCGTAGTAAATAGTATGAACTGTAGTGTGTCTACCAGCTAGAGCTTCGCTTACAAATCCACAGGCAACATCCTTTAAAGAAAAAAGAATAGTGTTGAACATTTAACCACGCTTCAACCTTTGAATGAGTAGATGGGTAGATTTCACGGTTCGATCATTCAACTGCATTTAAAAGGAGAAATTTCCCTAAGGTGCTGGACCTGGATGTACAAAGGAAACTCAGTTGAGTTAAATCCTAAGAATCATTGCTGAACAAGAAAAGTTAAGTTACAAAACAACAATGAGGATGTAATGAGACTGGCGACCCTCGATGGTTACGTTATACAAATCGTCTTAATTATCAAGCATATAGATTACCAGTTTGACCAATGAAACGAAAGCTTTCCTGAAGTAGTTTTATTTGGTATGGCTCGTTACGATGAACAATTATCACACCCGTTAGCTGCTGTATAGTTCTTTTTATGATAACAGGCCAATTTGCGTTACCTTTGGTTCATCAGGTACCCCACTTGTTACCACATAAATCCCTTCAACCTCTGTAAAAACAAAAACAAATTTTTCAGATATGATAAAAATGCAAACTGGGCAGGAGGGACTGTTAAAAGCAGACAAGCGTGCTTCTGAGAGTAGTAAGTTTAAGACAAACAGGATAAAACTCTTGACGAGACAAAGTACACCGATCATAGGACTGCAAGCTCAGCGCAGCAACTCTCAAGGAACTAGAAGTAGTGACAGCACCAAGTAAAACCCTTACGCGAAGACGAGATGTATCAAGAAACGAAAAAAGAAATCCAAAGGGAATGCGATCAAAAAACCACAAATACGATCGGGAAAAGAGGCTCGATGATAGCCGCTGACAGTTTGAGCTGTTTGCGGGTTTACTAGTTTTTTCCTTCAGAGATGAGACACTTGATTGAACAAAAATTTCACCATTAACATCATAGGTGACGAATTGCTCCTTAATTTTGGCGCGAAATTTCAGCGATAATTTGTAATTTCACATGTGAAATTAAAAAATTGCCATGGCAACCTTCCGTACTTCTCAGTGTCAAAAACATGTCATGAATGACTGAAGATGCCAGGGCATAAAAAGCCGCTTTAGAAAACTTGAACACACGAAAGAGCACATCAAGAGGGATTCTAACAGGTATTTTGTCGAAAAATGCTGAACTTAAGCCAAATTTAAGCTCTAACGTTCGAGTGAGGGGAGTTCTCGATCGATGCGATCCAGGATAAACATTTCAAAAATCCAAGATTGCTAAAGTAGTTCGTCACCCATGATATAAATAGGTAATCAAATGGTATACTTGAGAAGTTAGGGAATAATTTCACGCGCGTTTTGTTCACTCGTCACCATTTGTGAGGCTCTGTTTTATATGTATAGCAGTAACTCACCAATGCCATGAGCCCTTTCCTCTTCGTTTTCCACAGCTTTTCTAAATGCATCCAAAACATTTCTACTGCCTGTGCAACCTCGTTGAAGAAGCCATCTATCAGAAACAAAAAGCGAAATCATAAGAACCAACACTGGATTCGTTCATAACATCAAGTACGAAATCCTTTGCAAAAACTGGGGCTCGTTTATCCCCAGCCGTAAGTATCATGCACAGACTCGAAGTGGCGAAATGCAGTTCACTGAGCCCGTTTTCAGTGGTCTTACATATCTTTTCAATTAATGAGCGGGTTAGTCCTAGTCCACGTCCACTGTATTGATNTCAAGCATATAGATTACCAGTTTGACCAATGAAACGAAAGCTTTCCTGAAGTAGTTTTATTTGGTATGGCTCGTTACGATGAACAATTATCACACCCGTTAGCTGCTGTATAGTTCTTTTTATGATAACAGGCCAATTTGCGTTACCTTTGGTTCATCAGGTACCCCACTTGTTACCACATAAATCCCTTCAACCTCTGTAAAAACAAAAACAAATTTTTCAGATATGATAAAAATGCAAACTGGGCAGGAGGGACTGTTAAAAGCAGACAAGCGTGCTTCTGAGAGTAGTAAGTTTAAGACAAACAGGATAAAACTCTTGACGAGACAAAGTACACCGATCATAGGACTGCAAGCTCAGCGCAGCAACTCTCAAGGAACTAGAAGTAGTGACAGCACCAAGTAAAACCCTTACGCGAAGACGAGATGTATCAAGAAACGAAAAAAGAAATCCAAAGGGAATGCGATCAAAAAACCACAAATACGATCGGGAAAAGAGGCTCGATGATAGCCGCTGACAGTTTGAGCTGTTTGCGGGTTTACTAGTTTTTTCCTTCAGAGATGAGACACTTGATTGAACAAAAATTTCACCATTAACATCATAGGTGACGAATTGCTCCTTAATTTTGGCGCGAAATTTCAGCGATAATTTGTAATTTCACATGTGAAATTAAAAAATTGCCATGGCAACCTTCCGTACTTCTCAGTGTCAAAAACATGTCATGAATGACTGAAGATGCCAGGGCATAAAAAGCCGCTTTAGAAAACTTGAACACACGAAAGAGCACATCAAGAGGGATTCTAACAGGTATTTTGTCGAAAAATGCTGAACTTAAGCCAAATTTAAGCTCTAACGTTCGAGTGAGGGGAGTTCTCGATCGATGCGATCCAGGATAAACATTTCAAAAATCCAAGATTGCTAAAGTAGTTCGTCACCCATGATATAAATAGGTAATCAAATGGTATACTTGAGAAGTTAGGGAATAATTTCACGCGCGTTTTGTTCACTCGTCACCATTTGTGAGGCTCTGTTTTATATGTATAGCAGTAACTCACCAATGCCATGAGCCCTTTCCTCTTCGTTTTCCACAGCTTTTCTAAATGCATCCAAAACATTTCTACTGCCTGTGCAACCTCGTTGAAGAAGCCATCTATCAGAAACAAAAAGCGAAATCATAAGAACCAACACTGGATTCGTTCATAACATCAAGTACGAAATCCTTTGCAAAAACTGGGGCTCGTTTATCCCCAGCCGTAAGTATCATGCACAGACTCGAAGTGGCGAAATGCAGTTCACTGAGCCCGTTTTCAGTGGTCTTACATATCTTTTCAATTAATGAGCGGGTTAGTCCTAGTCCACGTCCACTGTATTGATTGATAGAGCTTACATCACATTAGTATAAATAGGACACTGCTGCTGCTTCAGTGGGGGAGTGAAGCCGCCCTAACATTGGTTTGATATCTTCTCTGTTCCAAGGTAAATATTGTTGGTTTTGAATGGCCCGTTTTCGCTCCTTTTTGTTCAGTTCGGCACTCTGAATCGGCACGGAATCAATGAAAGCTTTCTTCATTCAACTAACTTATTCTTATTTCTGCGTCGATTAACGCAAAGTGTACTTGTACGTTATGTAAAAAAAAAATCCTTAAGTGTGACCATTCAAATACAACCTGTTGAAAACACGTTCTTGCATAGTGCTACCTGTTTTCTTTAGTTAACCAAAAGAAATAGTGATTTTAGGCTGTGAGCTCTCATGGGAGATAGAGAGTTCAAGAAAACTTACTTCCAGGTAGCTTCAAGATACTCGGGAGAGGGTTCTACCATGACTGGTCGAAACATCTCTGTCTTGTCACCAAAACTAAACAAATACAAATTAGAATTCAGTGAGGATCTTTTGAACTATATAAATAAACATTAGTTGAAGAGGGGAAAACAGGGCAAAGAAAAAATATATTAGTGAAACTTAAAGGTCGTCTTGAACATTCACCGCCATGCTAGTGGCCCTAAGAAGATATCTACCAGATATGGACATATTGATAGGTATTTTTAGACTGTAAAATCATAAGAGAGAATTACGAAGGCGCAATCACAGTACAGCTTTGGCACAGTGGACGGATAAAAAAAAAACGCTTGAGCCTCAATAAACGCATTTATAAATTCCACACCTCCGCACTTAAAACTAAATTTCAGTGTCTTTGATCAACAAATGGGAGTTAGAAAATTATAACTAACACAGCCGCGGCCTACAACTCGTTACTTTGATTATACTGAAAATTTACCAGATGAAGTTGTAGGAGGTCTTGTTAGCCATTTGCTGTTCTAGAAGAAGCTTGAGATGCTCTTGTAGTCTAAGTACAGCTGGTGACATGCAGATTGACATGTCCAACAAAACAATCACTCTGCAATAAACAAAATAATGTCATTTACAGGGGCGGATCCAGGATTTTTTTTAGGAGGGGGTGCACTCGTATCTTGCTCTACTTCAACACCAATAAACCACTTTTTTTTTTTGGGCAGAATACCAGTTATATTAGAAAACCGCAGGTCATCTCGGGGGGGGAGGTTGCGCACCCCCTGCACCCTCCCCCTAGATCCGCCCCTGATTTACCTATCACACAGTAAAAACTCGCGTATAAGAAGCTAGGTTTTAGGAACCTCTTAGGCTAAGATTGTCTGTTAAGACCCCTTTTATATAAGAACCTGTATTAGCCTACAATTTTGAAACAGGTTCTTATTTTGAGAAATACAGTCAACCACTGAATACACAAGTACCATGTCTGGCCCAGCAGCAACACAGTACCATGTTTTAATGTTGCTTTTGTTCTGTTTAAATTGCATAGCTTTGTATAAACTTCATAAATGGCTTTAACAAGCTTGAATTAAAGGGATTTTTATAACATATTTTGCATGCAATACCAAAAATAGGCCCAAAATAGGCCACAACCACCAATGACAAACACCTCATATATTTTTAAAAATAAGAACTTATTTAAGAACCTGAGTACCCTAATTTTCCAGTTAGCATCATTTTTATAAGAACCTTCTTAGCCTAGCTTGGAAAAATGTACCAGGTTCTTACACGCTGGTTTTTACTGTAGTCAATCTTCTTTAATGTCAACATATTCGAGCGATTTTGGCGAACGGTTCAGCAAGTTTTTTTTTTCAACAAATGGAGGATGCAGTTGCTCCAAAAATGAGTTGTCACAAGAATAAAAATGGCCGTTTAAGTTTTTATGCTAGAGACGTTAAAGTCAGAAAAATAAAACTTATTAAATAAAATTGATCTTATCTTATCTTAAGTGGTCGAGACGTATTTAACTTCGGAGACGTTAATGTCGGCTGGTGTAAAAACGGGATGCATAAAAGTTGACGAAAACACTGAAAAAAAAATTGACGAAAAAAATACACAACACTGACTCTTCCCAGTCGCCCTTGGAGGAGTTGGGCAAAAATAAAATGCGTCCTAGTTTATGCCGTTGCCGTTTTTAATACAAGACGCACAAAAGTCGCCTGTTAAGTGCATTTGAACGACGCAGTAAACACAAGACGTTATTGTCGTCAGAAGTTAAACGCGTCTGTCTTATTTACCGTCTTAAACGTCTCTAGCATAAAAACGGCTAATGCACCTCATTACATACGTAATTAAAGGGACTCTGAACAACCGTATTGTTTAGTTCAGGGATGACTGGGTTTGCAAGGTGGCTGATGATTGGGTAAGAGGATCGGATCAAGGGTTGCCTCACATTTCAGAAAAATAAATATAAGATATATTACCGGAATCCTTAAGAAACGCGGAAGCCAACTGACCTCTTTTCTACAACTGTGCCAAAGATTCTGCGACAGCCAACGGAGAGCCAATCAACACGTCTCTTGTACAAGTGTACAGCAGACTCTAAATGGCGCTGTCAGAAAAAATCAATCGTATACAGGCAGGCAAGATATATTTTCTACTCTGAAGTTGCATTTAGCACTAATGTCTAGCCCTATTTAGCAATAATTATTTCTGTCAAAATAATGTTAGGAGTTTGTTTGCAGGGTTTGTGGTTTAAAGCATTTTTATAAAAACAAACTTCGTTCACACAAATTAGTAGCTACTGCAACAAAAAGGTAAACACGGTTTTTTGTTTGTTGTGTTTGTTTTCAGTTTATAAGTGATTGAGTATACATCAGGAGGTGAAGGTGAAGTTTGCTTCGTACTCTTAAATAGGAAGAAGACCACAGAACTGTAAAAGCGTCAACTACACGTAATTGGCAATTGGCAAGGGCAAACATCTAAAAGGCGGGCATTGTCCCGAAGAAAGTAATAATACAAACCTGGTAATCGAAAAGTAATGTAGGATCAACGTGCACATTTTTCACCGTTCCATCAAACCACTTGAACTGAGCCATACTCTGAAGAGAGAAACACGGTGAACAAGAAAATGAGCTTATCATAACAGTGGTAAATCTAGTTCTAAAACTTCTGTTATCTCGTTTAACTCTCATAGCGATTCAAACCACCACATTTCATTGTCCTTAGTTTCGTGGTGATCTGACAATTGGCAATAGTTTGTGCAACCTTTGTTCACGTGAAGGACTGTTTTCAACTGGGCTACTACCCATGTGTAGTCTACGAATACGGTCCTGGTCAATAGGGACGTTTCCTGCGAAACGTTCCGAGCGAGGGGGAGCGGAGAGACGGCTGTATGCGCAGGTTTGCCCATGTGCATCATTTAAAATGTGATGAAAACCATCTTAACGTCTTCACGGTGCCCAAATTATCTGATTAACTTAGTTGAACCTGGCTTTCATTTCCAGAATAAACAATTCAGTGTGTCCTGCACACAGTCTCTTTATGAACTATCCTTGACCCATTTATCTACTA